ATCCAAGGATTGGTACTGATTGGTTGATTGATTGGTTGGTTGGTTGGTTAATTGATTGGTTACTGGTTGATTGGTTGTTTGTTTGGTTGTTTGATTGGTTGATGGGTTGGTTGGTTGGTTGGTCGGTTAGTTGGTTGGTTGATTGATTGGTTGGTTGGTCCATTGGTTGTTTGGTTGGTTTGTAAGCTGATTGATTGATTGAATGGTTGGTTGTTGGTTGGTTGGTCGATTAGTTAGTCAGTTGGTTGGTTGATAGGTTGACTGGTATATTGATTGGCCGATTGGTTGGTCAGTCAGTTGATTGATTGATTGATTGACTGGTTGATTGAATGATTGAGTGCCTGATTGATTGATTGCTAATTTTAAAAACACCCACGAAAACTTCGAAGGATTTGTCCCATTTGAACGGCTCCGGAATTTCAAAACCCATCTTTTCTGTTTCTCTTTTGGATTGGGATATAAGCTGGATAGGAATGAATGAATGAATGAACGATCGGTTGAATGAATAAATGAATGAATAAATGAATTAATAAATGAATTAATAAATGAATTAATAAATGATTGAATAAATGATTGGATGAATGAGAAAATTTTTAATTGAATAAATGAGCGAATGGATGAACGAAAGATAGAACGATTGAATGAATGAACAACTATATTAATGAAATTAAATAAAATAATTAAAATTTTAATAAACAACAAAGAATAGGAAATTAAATAAAACCTAACAAAAATCTCACGGAATGAATATTGACAAAGACCGACAAATCTGATGCTAAATTTTCGCTTATTTATAATCATCAAGTCACGTAGATGATTTGTTTGTATGTGTTTGTTTGTATGTGTGATTGTGTGTATGTGTGTGTGTGTGTGTGTGTGTGTGCAGTTTAAATAAGAAAAATGAATGATAAATCACATTTTCCTATGGCAACAAAAGATCGCAGTTGTATGAATGAGACCTAGGTAATACTTTTTCTTTTGTCCATTCTTTCTATCTATATTTCATTCCTTCAGTCATTCATGCATGAACTTCATTCAACCATATGTTCATTCATTCGTTCGTTCGTTCGTTTGTTCATTTGTATGTTCGCGTTCGTTCTTAGTTTGCCTTCGCTGGTTTATTCTTTCATTCTTTTAATAACTCCTTCCATCATTCCTTCATTTCTTTATATTCATTCATCCATTCCTTCATTACTTCATTCAATCATTCGTTCATTCAATCATTCATCCATCATCAAACAATACATGAATTGACAAGATTTATGCAGATAAAGACATTCTCAAGTTAGAGCCAGAGATTAATTGTACATTTTATCACACACTATTACTTTTATTAGAAGTAGTAGAAGTAGCAGCAGCAGCAGTTGTAGTGGTAGTAGTAGTGGAAGTAATAGTATTAGTTGTAGTATTAGTAGTAGTTGTAGTAGACTAGTAGCAGTTGTAGTAGTAGTAGTAGTAGTAGTGGTAGTAGTAGTGGAAGTAATAATATTAGTTGTTGTTGTAGTGGTAGTAGTAGACTAGTAGTAGTAGTAGTAGTAGTAGTAGTAGTAGTAGTAGTAGTAGTAGTAGTAGTAGTAGTAGTAGTAGTAGTAGACTAGTAGTAGTAGTAGTAGTAGACTAATAGCAGTTGTAGCAGTAGTAGTAGTAATCGCAGTAGTAGTAATGGTAGTAGTAGTGGAAGTAGTAGTAGTAGTAGTAGTAGTAGTAGTAGTAGTAGTAGTAGTAGTAGTAGTAGTAGTAGTAGACTAGAAGTAATAGTAGTAGTAGTAGACTAGTAGTAGTAGTAGTAGACTAGTAGTAGTAGTAGTAGTAGTAGTAGTAGTAGTAGTAGTAGTAGTAGTAGTAGTAGTAGTAGTAGTAGTAGTAGTGGCAGTAGTAGTAGTAGCAGTAGTAGAAGTAGTAGAAGTAATAGTAATAGTATTGATTCTATTTCTAGAAAATTTCGAATAGGCTTTTACATTGGTTGTTGTTAGCTCTATACTTTTTGAGATGCCAAATGTATGGAAGATAGCTTTTATAATTTTAAACCAATCATTATTATAACTTATTATTATTATTTTTATTATTGTTTATTATTATTATTATGAAATTAATATTTTTCGTCTTATTAATTTTAAAACGTATTAATTCACGATTATAAAGTTATCAAACTCTTGCATTTGAAGTTATCTATCTGTGTATCTAACTATGTATCAATCAATCAATCAGTCGTGCCTAAAGTTAATTGACCTGGTATGTTAGTATGTATATTTGTATGTTTTGTTTGTATGTCTGTATGTATGTTTGTATGTGTGTGTGTGTATGTATGTGTTGTATGCGTGTGTGTGTTGGTGCGTGTGTAAACGACCTAGGCTTCCACCTTACCCATATAGATTCTCCCATAGTTAAAATCTAACAAATATAGCAATTTATGCTAACTTAGTTTATATACACACACAAACACACACGCACGCACATACAAACACACACAAACACACACACAAACAAGCACACAAACACACACACAAACAAGCACACAAACACACACACACGGCTTAGCAATACTTTGCGGAGTATTAACCCTTACTTAGCTTTATATTAACGCTCTGATAGTGGTCAAATAAGATGAGCCCGGAATATTAAATAATAATAATAACAAAAATAATAATAATTGTGATGATAATAATGAAAATAATAATAATAAGAAGAAGAACGATGATGATGATGATGATAATAATCCATATAAACTTGTATAGATCAATATTTTAATGGATATCAAGCTGTACGATAATGTAAGATAAAAATTTAACATGTTTTTATAGTAGGATCAAAGTATTTCAAACCGCATACTTACACCCAAGCATATACAAACATACTAACAAAACAAACATATACATACATACATACATTCATACATACATGCATAACAATATGTATACTAAGTAAGTGGGATTACAACCTTAACTCTAAATCCAAACAAACAATCAACCAGCCAGCCGGCCAACCAACCAACCAGACCAACCTATATACATACATTTAAACATACATACATATTAATATATACGTTGATTTGATTTTGTCTTAACATTGTGATTTGACTGACAAATGTTATTTACTAACCAGTATTTTATTGCCATGATAATCATCTACAACTACTACTATAGATATGTGTATGTGTTTGTTTGTTTATTTGTTTGTTTGTATATATGTATAATAAATATGTATGTATGATTATTATTTAAATTTTATGTTTATATTTTATATCATGCCAGTGTTATTGTTGTTTGATAAATTTGTATACACATTTGAGGAATGTATGTATGTCTGTTTGTATGTATGTATGTTTGTTTGTTTGTTTGTATGTATGTATGCATGTTTGTTTGCTTGTATGGTAGCTTGGGTACTTATTCTACTGGATAAATTCATCATTTGGCATACGTCATGTTTGACAGCACTGTATGTATGTTAGCTACGTGACGTTGTTTATGATGATGATGATGGTTGTGACGATGGTTTTGATGATGATAGTCGTGAAGATGGTTGTGATGATGATGACGATAATGATGAAATGATGATGATGATAAAGTGGCCACCGATATACCTATATACCAGACTTTTAACAATTTTGTGTTGTAGCAACTGTAGCAGCAGTATTAATGGTATTAATTTTATCAAAGATATTTCAATTTCTTACGTAAAATTCTTTACCACTTCAAATAAAGAATATGGTTCTTGCTTTAGAATATCATTCATTTAATGAATTTTTCAATTATTTCCTGCAAGAAATGGAGCTTTTTATATTGTTGTTTTAATTGTACTCTAGCAAAAACTTCTCAAAAGTATGAAAAATTCTTAAAATTTTGTATTTCTGTCTGGTAGAACGCTAATTTTGGCTTATCCTTCTGGAAAAAAATATTTCGCTCTAAACCAAGCAGGTGGCTTTGAAAATTTCACAAAATATTTTACTTTAGAAATTCATACCAAAGGTCGAGTTTTTGGCTAATTTATGTGTAGAAATTATCATTTTAAAGTGGAATTTTAAGTTTGTTTGAAAGTTTGATTGCTACTTTTAATTATTTTTAAAAATTAGTCTAGCTTTTCTGAGTTTTTATTTGATTTATTTGAGGTTTTTTGCGTTCAGAATTTCATTCTGTGAACTAAGGTATGGTTCGTTGTTATTTTTTGTATTCAGATGGTCATTTTGAAGTGAATTTTGAAGTGAATTTTGAAATAATAATTGTTAGAACGTTGCGTTGATTCTCTTTATTCCTTTTCATGTTTTAAAAGTCGATAATACATTTTTTTGAAATGGACACCGCTAAATTTTATCAAACAAATGATTTTAAATAAATTAAACTTTATACCTATAAATAGAATTTAATAATATGATTTAATATTATATTATAATAATAGTAAAATAAATATTTATTTATTCAAAGTATTAGTCAATTAAATAATTATTTTTTGATTAATAATAGTACTCTAATAAAAAAAAATTTATAAAAAAAGCATTTGTAATAATTATTATTAACATTGGAAAAATATAATTTTCTATTTAATTATTAATTGCTTAAAATTATTTCGCAAATATATTATCGTGATATTTTAATTATGGATTAATTTATTAATTAAAATATTGATAATTATTAGCATGTAGTTTTTTTTATTAATTTGTCTCACTGAATGTGGTAATACTGTAAAATTATATGGCTTATATGGTGCAAATAAATTAATCTATTAACCACAAAAACTGCACCAAACGACAAAAACCGTTTTTCCAGAATTAATTATGGTATCAACTGAAATGATAACATCTTATTAAACCTTTTAATTTATCATTCAATTAAGATAAGAACATTTTTGCGGAGAAAAGGAAAGGAAAAGGGGGATTTGAAGAAATTGTTGACGTCACGACACCTTTTTCGTCGTCGTCGTCATCGTCCCCTCGTCGTCATGTCGCAACAGAGAAAGCATGTGAAGTCTTCCACGTCTTCATACCAACCCACTCCAAGTACCTCCTCTCAAATTTTGCCATCTCTCCCACAGCCAGGAATAACCCCGCAATACCCAGCAGCCGGGGTTTTATCAATGAAACCAAAACGTGACGAAGTCTTCAAATCGCCCTTCAGAATGGTCAACACGAGTTTTATTGAAATTAGACGAATGAACGACCATTTAAGGAATTTAGTGAATTTTGATTCTCCTAGTACAGTTGATGATTTTCAGAGAAGTACGGGGGTTACATTAAATCAATCCGAAAATATACCAAACCAGGCAGTCGGAAGTGGTGAACGTCGTAACGATAACCGATCGTTTAAAAAAGTCGGTCATCATCTGAAACTGGACATGGTTTTCGTGGCACTGAATCGTGATGATGTGCCAAAGAATCTCAATCTGCCGGATGAAATTAAGAAGGATCAGAAAAGTTTGTACATCTATGATCATTTTCTGACAGAGATCTTTACTGAGTTAGTTGGTATGCATTCCAATCCATGCAGGGATGAGTTATTGAAAAGAAAACTAGATGATCTCAATGTACATAATGCTGATATATATTCTAAAAACTCAAGGATAGAAACTTTTATGAAAAAATTGTTTGAAACGTTCCAGTCAAATGATGCTGCGGTCAAAAAAAGAGAAGCCTTCAAATCAATAGCCTCACGCAAGCAGTTGGGGCTTTTTAGGAAAGAAGCTAGCACTTCATCTTCAGAATGTTCTTCAGAGGAAAAAAGAGCAGATGACATTTTTAAGTCAAATGAAACTTGTTCCATGTCTAAAATTTCGACCGCATCTGGTGAAGATGCTGCTGACCAGCAGCCAACATATTCAGGCTATTCAAATGCTAGTTCCAGCATTTTTAGATACCCAAATGATGACTTTGAAGAAAATTGCAGGGATATAGCTGTAACAACACCTACTCGTTTAGAATATTATGCCCAATTTGATTGCAATAATATGTTGAGGATTGAAACATTTAGAAAGGTACTTGTGGATTATAAATTTCTGTTGCGTTATCAAGAGCTTTTACAAGACAGACGAGCAACGCTAGCTGAACAACAGCGAGGCCGAAATCCCGCAGTTCGACCTATGTCTTTAGATACTCAGGATTGTGTAGGGGGGGAAAAACCCGAACATCAATTTTTACAAGATCCTTTTAGAACCAAACAAAGAGACAGAGATTCAGATGACGAAACAACCACTTCTGCACAAGCAGGTACGAAAGATTATTTAGAAAACAGGGACATGCCAAGATTTTGCTCGGAACTTCACTCAGAAAAAGACAATATAAATTATGGAAGCGGAAAAGTAATAGAAAAATATTACTGTGAAGAAGAGAGCATAAGTTACGAAGGCGCAGCATGCAAACCATCAATTGCTCCAAGAGATGCGACGGAATCAATTTTATTGCATCAGGTTCACAATTTACGTAGTTCCTTTATAAAGAAGAATAAATTGGACAAATCAGAGTTATTCACTGACACTGAGTCATACGTCTGTATCGATAGGCATGACTTGAAACCTTTTGATAATAGAGGCGTTTACTACCATTACAATCACCTAGAAGATGAAATTACAATGGATTGGCTGACTGATTATTTATGGCAAAAATGTGAAGTTATACTAATACTTGCCGATGATAAAATACTTGTGGAAGATCATGAAAATGATCTTGATAGTGAGTTTGTTAGACTTGATGAGAAAAGGAAAAGTTTGACTCCTTTGGGAGAGTTTTGCTATTATCCTTTGAATAGAGTTTACATAGCTTTTGACAGAAATAATAACTGTTTTTTAGTACCAACAACAGCTGTCGTTGAACCCAAACCAACGGACGATGATTGGCTGTACGCGAAGCAGCTTTCACTTTCAGAGGTCAAACAGTTGTTCCTAAAACATGAAGCGAACGGCGTTTTTTTAATTTCACCGGAGGAGAGAGCCGATGCCCTAACCATTTACAACTTGAGTGTACAGTATAATGGCGAAGTGCGACGATATAGAATTGTAAACGTTAATAACGGGGATGGTTACATGATAGAAGGTAGTGGGAAGTATTTTACAACTTTGAATGAATTAGTTGGGTTTTATAGAAGAAACAGAGCCACACTGTGCACGCGGTTGAGAAAACCTCCGTCGCACTGTAGATTCTCATTTACTCCCGGTCATCATTATGACAGGAGGTACAACATTGATTATGATCAGTTGCAGAGGAAAGAAAAAATTTGGCAATTTGATTTTGGTTTGGTGCACACTAGTTACTATCAACGTAAAAATAGTGAAGTTTTTGAAGTTCTTTTGAAGTGTTTAGTGAGAAAGAGTCCAGATAAAGTATCCAAAGAAGATGTTGAAGATTTTTTTGACATTTCTGATATAATGATGGATTTAAAACATGAAAACATAATTGAGTTCGTCGGCATTGTCAGTTACCCCTATTATATCATTGTGACTGAATTTGTGAACGAAAATTTGAAGACACATTTAAAAAGTGTTAGCCACTACCATTATAATGCTTCTGATTATCATAGAATCTGTGTGCAAATCGCCAGCGTTTTGAAATACCTCGAACTTCAGCGTTACGTCATACACAGAAAAATTTGTTGCAACAGTTTTCTAATCACAGCGAATACAGCTACGGTAAAATTGTTCAATTTCTCAAGGGCAAGGAAAGTGGACAGTGACGAGTTTGTGGGAGAGGAGACGGATGATGTCGACGTAATAGGAGCAGCTCCAGAAACTTTGAAATCGAACTTCTACAGTACAAAAACAGACGTCTGGTCGGCTGGTTTCACTTTCTGGGAAGTGTTCTCCAAGGGTGAGAGGCCATTTGAAACAACTCCTCTCGAGTTATATATTGCTATATGTTATACTGGTGTGTTTCTAGAAATCCCGGATTCGTGTCCTGTCGGAGTTTTCAACGTAATCAAATCATGTCTGCGTTCCAAGCCAGAACATAGGCTCACCTCAGCCGAACTATACAAAACTTTTAAAAGCACAGAACAGTTTTGTCAAAATTTTCAGCGAAGACGACCAAGAACACCCCCTTCAGAGGACGATGGCAGGAAACAAAGTTCGAGACCACCCATGGTCAGAAGCGAACGCGTCGTTCCGTTAACGCCAGGGGGAAATGAAGCTAAACTGACTTCTACCACCTTCTCAAGCAAATCAATGACTCCATCAAGACCTACAGGGACTATGCCAACCCAGAATTTGCCCCAACAAAGTCATTATGGAGGGGTCAGCGTGAAACCACCGAGGCCCAACCCCACGCCCTCAGATAAGAAAGGAGGGGGTTTCCTAAAAGATAAGAAGAGACCTTGATACATGCGTATCTTTTTAAATGTTTTTTTTACTGTATCGATTTTGAAATTATTCATTATAATTATTCAAAGGTAATTTCATTTTCATGGCTATCATTTTTTAGTATCATTTTTAATTTCATTTTAATAGGTATCATATTTGGTATCCATTTCAATTTCATTGGTATCATTTTTTAGTATCCTTTTCAATTTCATTTTCAATTTGTGATGGAAATTTTTCATTAAAAGATATCAGAAATCATCATTGTTCATTCATTTTTAACTTTAGTAAGCATTCATCCACTCACTCACTCACCCAGTCATTAATGAATATTTATAGGTGCACATTCATTCTATTAAGCCTGTTACTTTGTTCATTCGTTCATTCACTCATTAATCAATCAATCATCAATCAATCATACCATACAATCAATCATTCATTCATATGTGTGTGTGTGGTGTGTGTGTGAAATGGTGAATTGCATTTTATAGGTAAAACCAGATAATGAGCCGTTATTTTTTACTGACCATATTTTATTTTTCGTGCCCTATCAACCCTGTACAATTAGATTTACAAAAGTTGGTCAGGTTGAGGCATTTTAATCGAAAAAATATATGAAATTTTTTAAATTAGAAGCAATTTTTGAAAGATTTTTCTGGTATTACTGCAATTTTAACCGAATTCGTTTTTAAACTGTTTTTAGCATAAAATATCGATAATACTGTGTTAAAATTCATTAAATTTCACGAAAATCTGATTACAAACTCATGTCAAAAAATGTTTCACGTCTCTTTTGAAGTGACTTCGTATTTATCTCGTGTCATTTTATGTCAGCGGATGGACATCATTAATGATTAAAATGATAATATTATGATGAAGGCGCCTGAATAAACAGCTGAAACAAACTCGTTCTATTTTATGTAATTTATTCCATTTTGAAATGACAAAAAACGAGTGTGTGTGTGTGTGTGTGTGTGCGTTCGTGTATGTTTGTGTGTGTGTGTGCGTTCGTGTGATAAGTATGATAGTAAATATGCGTGTATGTGTGTGCGTGTGTGTGTGTAAAATACCGGACTAATAGAGTAACACAAAAACGACAATGTTAAATAATACGATTTTGTTATGATATATATATAGAAAATGATTGAAAAGTGTATATATATGCGCGTGTGTGTGTGTTTGTATGTTAGTTACAACAACAATGGTAATGTATGTGTACGCATGTATGTTCACATGTGAGGTTATCAGTGCAATTTGATGATACATCGGCTCTTAAATTTATTAAACGTTAATAATTATACTTGTATATGGATGTATTTTAACTGATATACATGTAGATATGTGTTTACGTGTTTGTGTGTGTTTGTGTGCGTGCTGCTAAGATATTACGTTAGAAAATGTGTGATGAACCGGATGAAAACCTTTACTTTGGTTCCTTTCTGTGAGATAATATTACTGTCTGGGTCATAGGATAGGTCAATCAATCAATCTAGGTTAAAAAGAAAGGTCAATCAAACTCTTCAAAAGTTCAAAGTTCAGATGATTCAATTCTAAGCGTCAATCAATCAACCAATCAAACAACCAATCAATCAACCAATCAATCAACCAAACAATTAATCAGCCAGCCAGCCAACCAGCCAGTCAATCTTTAAATAGATGTATGTATGTATCTATCAGATATAATGTTCTAAATTGAAACGAAGTTTTTACAGGCTTTTCTTACAAAATTTAAAACAAATTCCATAATTAGAATAATTATACTAATATAATAGAATAATTATTACGATAATTATATATTAAATATATTATTATTATGACAATAATAATAATGTCAATAATAATACTAACAATAAAATTTAAAATGGCGAAAAATTACTGAATAATAATTCTATACAATTGAATGGTCAGATCAATTATGACATATACATACATACATACAGTCAAAGAGACAACTTATAATTTGCACTCTCTCCCTCTTTCTCTCTCTCTCTCTCTGTCTCATTCCTTCATTCTTCAGTGACTTTCATTCCCTTCATCCTGGACGCCCAGAGAGTCCTCCATCATCTTCACGATCTCCTGGCGATGCTGCATCTTGGCGTCGCTCAGCGGCGTCCTGTGGTTGTTGTCGGCCACAAGCGGGTTGCCACCGCGACTCAACAGGAGGTCGACCTGGAAAGGAGGAGAATGAGGGAAACGGTGAGAGAGTGGAAAAAAAGAGATAAGAAAGCATGCATACACAGAGAGAGAAAGAGAGAGAGAGAGAAAGAGAAAGAGAGAAAGAGAGAGAAAGGGAGAGAGAAAGAGAATCAATCGATCAATCAATCAATCAACTAACAATCAGTCAATCAATCATTCATCCAACCGACCATCCAACACGTTAATTACTTCACCAATAAATAGACCAACGTATCAAGGTACTAGCTAATGAATAACTCAATCAACCAACCAACCAATCAATCAACTAGTCAACCAACCAATAAACCAATAAACCACCTAATCACCTTGTCAATCAGATTGAAATTGACGGCCACGTGTAGTGGGGTTCTGCCCTCGAAGCCCCCCATATTCACGTCGGCACCAGCATCACACCACATCTCAACTGTCTGGAGGTCATCATTCAGTACTGCACTGTTTTTATGTGTACATGCGTGCGTGCGTGTGTGTGTGTACGTATGTTTATTTGTATGCGAGTGCATGAAAGAAGAAACGAATAAACAAATGAATAAATGAATGAATAAATGAAGGAATGAATGAAGGAATGAATGAATGAATGAACAAACGAACGAACGAATAAATGAATGAATGAACGAACGAACGAACGAATGAATGAATGAATGAATGAATGAATGAATGAATGAATGAATGAATGAATGAATGAATGAATGAATGAATGAAGGGAAAGAAAAAGTTAAGGAGTAAAGAACAGAAATTAATAAATAGTGATACAAAGTGCAAGATAAATAGAGGCGTAAGAAACATTGGTAAACATGCCTAGGTACACTTGCACGTCCTCAAAATAACTCTTTCTCACCTTCTCCCTCTCTCTCTCTCTCTCTTCCTCTCTTTTTTCTGCCTCTCTATCCCTCTCTTTTTCTGGTCTGCTGTCTAATTCTCATTAGGTTTTTTCATTTAATGTTTTTTTTATCCTCTCGCCTTTCATTCTTCTCTCTCTCTCTCTCTCTCTCTCTCTCATTTTCTTATGTTTTAGTTTTCTTTATCATCGTTCTCTCTCTCTCTCTCTCTCTCTCTCTCTCTCTTTCTTCCTCTGTCTGTCTGTCTGTCTGTCGTGAGTGTCGTGGTTTCATCATGTGAGTATGTGATGTTAGATGTTACATAGCTGATAGCTCTTTCTTTCTTACCTTTCTACCCTCTCTTCTCTCTCTCTTTCTTACTCTCCTTTACTACACTTTGCTCCTTTCTACCATGTTTCTCTCTCTCTTTCTCGTTCTACTGTCTTCTCAACTGTCTTTCAGAAGTGTTGTGGTTGGACCTCACACACACACACACAAACACACACACACACACACTCACATACAAACACACACACACACATATACATACAAACAAGCACAAACACACACACACAAGCACAGCTGCTATTTTTAGAGACAACATCAAGCGACGACATTTTTTTTAAATGGTGCTAGAGGAGGCATACAAGTTTAGCAATTAAGAGTCGTAAATCAAACAATCATCATCATCTTTGCCATCCTCATCATCATCCTCCTCCTCATTGCTATCACCTTCAATAACATCATCATCATCATCATCGTCGTCATCATCATAATCATAAGGATATGAATGTATCAGGAAAAGTCTAAAGCCTAAAAGAAGATAACCGTTATCATCATCATCGCCACCAGCATCAATCATCTTCATCATCGTCATAACAACAACAACAACAACAACAACAACAACAATAATAATAATAACAATAATAAAAATAATAAAATAATTACTCATAATTACTAACGAGATAAAATTATTAATATGCTTGGGAGTCATGACGGTGATGTGGGCGCCAGTCTTAATCAGTAACGGGACGATATCTTTCTGCCGAAACTGTAGGGCGTTGTCCAGGGGCGAATAATTGAAACGGTCCCTCTGGTGGACGGGGGCCCCCTCCTCTAGGAGGTACCTGGCAAAGGTGGGACGGTCCACAAGTCGATCAACCAATCAAACTGAATCAATCAATCAACCAGTCAACTAATCGAGTGATTAAGATTATTTAATCAATTTTTTTCTAGTAACCAGTCAACTACTCAGCCAACCAAACAACCCACCAAACAATCAACCAGCCAATCAACCAACCAACCAACCAATCAACCAACCAACCAATCAACCAACCAACCAACCAACCTCACAACATCCACGTCTCCATTGCAGCTGGCGATATGCAAGGGCGTTCTCCCATCGTAATCGGCCATGTTGAAGTAGGCCCCCTGTCAGAAAATTGGATCAAGTCAGATAAACATATCGATAATGGATAACAAGTCGGTCAGGTCAAATTTAAATGCCGATATAGACCGTGTTAAATTTGAAAATTTTATAATTAGGACGTTTATTTGAATGTACTGAAAAATAATTAAAATGAAAAAGAGGATAACAAATCCAAAATGACTGATCCTAAATACCAATAAATCCCAAATGACTAATCCTAAATACCAATAAATCCCAAATGACTGATCCTAAATACCAATAAATCCCAAATGACTAATCCTACATACCAATAAATCCCAAATGACTAATCCTAAAATCCCAAATGACTAATCCTAAAATCCCAAATGACTAATCCTAAATACCAATAAATCCCAAATGACTGATCCTAAATACCAATAAATCCCAAATGACTAATCCTACATACCAATAAATCCCAAATGACTAATCCTACATACCAATAAATCCCAAATGACTAATCCTAAAATCTCAAATGACTAATCCTACATACCAATAAATCCCAAATGACTAATCCTAAAATCTCAAATGACTAATCCTAAAATCCCAAATGACTAATCCTAAATGCCAATAAATCCCAAATGACTGATCCTAAATACCAATAAATCCCAATTGACTAATCCTACATACCAATAAATCCCAAATGACTAATCCTAAAATCCCAAATGACTAATCCTAAAATCCCAAATGACTAATCCTAAAATCCCAAATGACTAATCCTAAAATCCCAAATGACTAATCCTAAATACCAATAAATCCCAAATGACTAATCCTAAAATCCCAAATGACTAATCCTAAAATCCCAAATGACTAATCCTAAAATCCCAAATGACTAATCCTAAATACCAATAAATCCCAAATGACTAATCCTAAAATCCCAAATGACTAATCCTAAAATCCCAAATGACTAATCCTAAAATCCCAAATGACTAATCCTAAATACCAATAAATCCCAAATGACTAATCCTAAATACCAATAAATCCCAAATGACTAATCCTAAATACCAATAAATCCCAAATGACTAATCCTAAAATCCCAAATGACTAATCCTAAAATCCCAAATGAATAATCCTAAAATCCCAAATGACTAATCCTAAATACCAATAAATCCCAAATGACTAATCCTAAATACCAATAAATCCCAAATGACTAATCGTAAATACCAAATCCAAAAATCCAAACTTCCCAAAAAAAAACGTACGGCTTTCTTAAGTTTTTCTAGAGTGTTGACACTGCCTTCATGCGCCGCCAGGCACAACAAGTATGGAAACAGTTCAATTTCTAGCTGATGTCTTTCCTATGTATGTGTGTATGTGTGTGTGTGTGTGTATGTGGATGTGTGTGTGTTGTGTGTTGTGTGTGTGTGTATGTGTGCGTGTCCATCCTGGCTAACATGTCCAGTGCCAAGTCTGAGGACATCCGCGAGGTTCTCAATGAGTGACACATGCACCTTCTCATCCTCCTCGTTCAAAACCTCACTCAACTCGCCACGGAGATTTAATCCGATCAGCTGATTGGTCGATTGATCGGTTGGATGGATTAATTGGTTGGATGGATTGATTGGTTGAATGGATTAATTGATTGGTTAATGAATTGATTGATTGATTAATTTTTGATTGATTTTTGATTGATTTTTGATTGATTGATTGATTGATTGATTGATTGATTGATTGATTGATTGATTGATTGATTGATTGATTGATTGATTGATTGATTGATTGATTGATTGGTTAGTTGGTCGACTGGTTGGTTGGCTGATTGAAAATTTTGTAATCTATTGGTTGTTTGGTTCAAGGGCTAACTGACCGAAAGATGTTCTGATGGTTCGTTTGTTTTGCTGGGTTGGTTGTCATGACGAAATTTTAGTAATGACGATGATGTGAAGATGATGACAATGCAGTTAGTGTGACGATGAAGATGATGATAAAAACAAACTCCACCCACTTTCCTCCTCTGAGCCAATGAGAGTTCTTCCTTTCCGAGCAGGTAACTTAACTTCATGAGGGCTGCCTCGACTGTCATGTCTGACCCTGAAATGACCCCTGCCTCGAAAAATGCCTGGGTCAGATGATTGGTTGATTGATTGGTTAGGTAAGATTGATTAATTGATTGGCTAGAAGTCGAACAAATGATTGGGTGGGTAGTTTAACGATTAAATGGTTAGATAAATGATTGGTCAGTCAATCAATCGATCCTTCGGTCAACTGAACCATAATACCCCACAAACAACCTTCCCAGCGGCATAGATGGGGTTGACAATGCCCTTGGAACATTGGGTGCAGTTGACCACAATGACACCTCGGTCAGTGGCCTCCTTGATTGCCTTCAGGATGTCCAGTCGATTATCCGGTCCATTGCCCTGTCCGTAAGTCTGAAGAACCACGCCCTGCATCGGCGGTCTCAGGAAGGAACGAATCTGATTGGTTGTTGGTGGGTAGAGTAGTTAAGGCGGATGAACGATTTTGATTGGTTGAAGTCTGCAATAAGGGTGAGGCTATTATTGTTAGATGGAATTAATAAGTGTGATGAACGAACGAACGAATAAATAAACTAATTCACAGATGAATGAATGAACGAATTAATGAATTAATGAATGAATGAACGAATGAATGAATGAATGAATGAATGAATGAATGAATGAATGAATGAATGAATGAATGAATGAATGAATGAATGGATGAATGAATAAATAAACGAACGAACGAACGAATGAACGAACGAATGAATGAATGAATGAACGAATGAGTGAGTGAATGAACCAACCGTCTCAATGGTGATATTTGGAAAAAGCCTCAACACTCCAACATTCGGGCACATCCTGGTGGAGACTTGGAACTTCTTCATGCCGACAGAACGAAACACGTCTGTCCAGTTTACTGATGATGATGATGATGGTGATGGCGGCGGTGGTGGTCGTAATGATGAATGATGACACACACACACGCACGCACACCCACACACGCACACACCTTTTATAGAAA